AAGTGACTTCAGTTAAAGAAATGTTGTTCATATACAGAGAGGGATGGATCGGTTTTTCGAGTTTCTTACTAACAGTCATTGTTACAGTTTTGTTAGGATTAAAATTCACAAGCCAAGTTTTAGACCAATCGTGAATTTTCATTAGATTATCATTTAACAGGTTTGCGGTCGGACCCGGTGACTCCACTTTGACATATAGAGACGTTTCTTCAGCAAATAGCTTTATAGTACAATCGATGTCTTTGACAATATCATTTATAAAGATTAAAAAGAGCAGTGGACCTAAAATTGATCCCTGTGGAACTCCTGCTGTGATATTTGCTAAATAAGATTGTTTACCATTTATAACAACACGTTGACAGCGATTATGTAAGTAATCTGAGAACCAAGTAAAAATATTTCCTGTGATGCCGAAAGATTTTAGTTTAGAAAGAAGACCTCGATGCCATACTCGGTCAAACGCTTTGCTGATATCACAGAAGACCATTCGGACTTCTTTACCTTTATCAAGAGCAGAGAAGATATCATTAGAAATAGATAGAAGTTGATTTATAGTGGAATCACCGGATCTGAAACCAGACTGGAAGGGTGTTAATAAAGATTTATCAATAAGATAGTTGTAAACATATTTATATACACAGCGTTCCAACATTTTCCCAACAATTGATAATAGAGAGATAGGACGATAATTACTTAAAGTAGATGGATCGTCTTTTTTAAATACTGGTGTCACATGAGCAGTTTTCCAAGATGACGGAAAAATACATTCAGTGAGCGAACGGTTAAATAGGATTTGTAGTGGATAGCTAAGAATATCGGCAGCTTCCTTAATCAAACGAGGACTTATAAGGTCGGGACCAGAGGCTTTCTTCATGTCAAGGGACTGTATTGCATCAAGAACGTCTTGACGAGATATAACAATGTCGGAAAGTATGTGAGTATGAGAATAGTTTAGAACAGGGGGATCAATATTAGAGTCATTAATAGTAGATTGTGAGGAGAAAAAAGTGTTAAAGGCGTTTGCTTTATCGAGATCGTCATAAAAAATGTCGTTATTGGCAGAAATAGGAGGAATGCCGCCTTTTCTTTTAGAGTTAGACATAAAACTATTTATAATTTTCCACCATTCCTTGGCACAAGTGTTAGTATTATAGTTGAGTTTATCACAGAGTTTGTTAAAATAGTCACGTTTGGAATTACGAATGGCGTTTATACAAGTATTTCTGAATTTTCTAAATTTTGCCCAGTCGTCTACTTTACCAGAATGCTTAGCTTTTCGATGAAGGTATTTTCTTTTTCGGATCAGTTTTCTTACTCTGTTGTTTAACCATGCGGGAGCGTTACTTCTTACAGTTATAGTCTTATTCGGTATACATTCTCTAGCCGTCTTAAGTATAATGTCAGTAAGTAGGTCAGTACATCTGTCTATGTTATTATTATCTAGAATGCTGTCCCAGTCAATTTTAGAAAGCTTGTCTCTGTAATCGTCATAGTCACCGAGGTCATATAACAAAATGTTACGTTTAAAACATGATTGAATGGGTTTGGATATATTAAGGCTACCATATACTGGGCAATGATATCTAATAGGCTGGTCTAGGAAGCTTTCACCGACATGACATAAGTTAACTAAGGATGGGTCACTAGCACAGACTATATCTAGGAGAGAGGAAGACGATTCAGTGAAAAAGGTAGGATTGGCGACACTCTGTGTAAGATTGTAAGTAGTTAGTAAGTTGCGAAGGTGAATAGAGTGGTTATTATTATTATTTAGTAAGTTTGCGTTGAAGTCGCCGGTTATTATAATGTTGGGAATTCCAGTGTTAAAAGCAAGTTCGATAGAATGAGCAATATGGTCCCAAGAAGAAACAGGTTCATCTTGGGGTCTATAGAATGTCCCATACAGAACTAGTTTACCTAGTATGTTAAGTTGCACCCAAACGCACTCAACTGAGGGTAATTCTAAGTCAGATCGACGCTTGGATGTTATGCTGTTGCTAACGTATACTAAGACCCCACCTCCTTGCCTATGAGGTCTACAATAACAATATGGGGAAGAAAAACCAGGAAATTCGGAATCAGAAATTATCTCATTAGGACTAAGCCATGTTTCGGTAAAGGAAAGGATATTAATCTTATACAGTTCACTAAAGAGAATATCAAATTTATGCTTTATGCTTTTTACGTTTAGGTGAACAAAAGTATATTTGGCATTAATGTTGTAAAGTTAGATGAGCACGAAGAAACTGATGATACGTCAGACACGCTAGGCCCGGGATTAGTTTCAATATCGTCAGAGAGAAGGAGTAATATTCGGAGAAGTACTAAAGATATACACATAGTAAAGCAAATAGATATGACGCTCTTCACTTCGTAGGGTGCTTGCCTGGTTCGGGTATTAAAGTCATATTTAAGTTTGCATGAGACTTGTAACATGTACATTAAGATATGCTATGCATATAATACAATTAATACAAATAAAATATCCACTAGTACAGACCCGGTCATGTATGTGTAATTACATGATCGATGATAGTTACGGTAGTAGAAAATACCTATCCGGACACAGTAGAGATTAGGACATATAGACATTCAAGTTACGGAGGTAACCTTAGGATGAACATAACCATTCGTATCCGGATAGGGTAACAAAAAAAATCGACCGATAAGGGCAACAACTTTGTAACATGTATAGTGTGAAAAAATGCGCTTGTTCACGTGGGCATTGGGAAAGGGGAGGTAATAGTGTAAGGAAAGTAAAGGTGCGGTGGGATATGAGAAGAGTAAGGTAACAAAGAAAAAATAACATGATGGGTATTACTTCCATCGTGTAACCGAGAAAGGGGTAGGCAGGTACATATAATAAATAAATTTCATGTGTATACATTTAGGTTTTAAACGCTAATTAACTACTGGAGTATTGTATTGTTTAATTGTATTGTACATGTACATACAATCAAGTGATTTTGTAGTGTACATAAACATTCAATGAATATTTACAAGTACACTCGACTAAGTGTGTACCAATATATTAAAACAATTCATGATACATATAGAGAACGATACAATTTACTAAGCCTATCAAAAACTAACAAAGAGTTAGTGGTACTACACGTATCTGATTGTCTGGGTGTATAAATCAACATATCTTATAAGTTTCTAGGTATGTAATTGCTAAATCCTGAATTGATCTTGGATCAGAGGTAGATGACATGGTAAAGTAGCTAAAGTTTACCAAATAATGAATTTCTATATATGTTACTTTACACCTATATGTACAAAATGTACCATAGTAATATAATTATGATGAATTGTGAAGTTATGTATGAGAAACTGCGCAAACAACATACAATTGTATTATTATGCAATATTTTGTATAGCAGAATTGGGGAATAAAACAGTTTATTGATTGATTGCATGTTCGCACACGCTTGAATACAATACGTACCTGTTTATATACATGTATCTGTATATGTGACTAACAATATTATTTTAGGTAACGTTACATCTCATACCAGGGTTTACATTTCAGGCTGTTTGTATCTAATTAGTAAACTTCGAACATTTCATGATACCTTGGATATAGTAGAAGATACATATACTGTATAGGTAACAAAACAACAACAAAAAAGACATGTAAGGGTTGTTAAGTTTGAGAAACTATCATGTAAGTTTAATTTGACTTTGAAATAATAAAAAATAAAAACCCACTCTTTCCCAACTGATTCATAGTCTTGGAGCACATTGGCTATTAAATTATAAAAATATTCATGGCGAAACGATATTTTAAAACGTTTATTAAAAACGTATTTAATCAAATTGATTTCTAAATTGTAAAAGTATTCATCTAATTAAAAGATTAGAAACAATAAAATAAATATAATGACCCGTCTTTGACGGGATTCAAACTCAGTTCAGAGGACTTGTGATTGTTATGAGACACGACGTCACGTGGTCAATCTCCAACGCATGTACACGTCGTGTTAAACAGGTGGTCAACTTGTTGAAAAATGGATTACAACTCTGACAGTATCCTAAGTCAGTTATTGGATTCGTATGAGGGTTAAATTTACCAACGGGTGAACGAAAGTGTTTTTGACGCAAAATCCAATCGTCTGTACCGAAAAAGAGACAGAAAATGCAGAAAACACCAAAGTACCGGATACATGGATACTAATACTCCTGACATGGATATTGGCTTCGGCTTAGGTAAACGTCGAAAGAAATTAATATGATATGTGATATTGTCATCCATTAGTTTTCGCTTAATTATTTCACATAACTAACAATTTATGAATTCGTTTTCCTCTGTTTTCTAATCATTGGTTATGTTGCAATGGTTCAATGATGCACTAACAGTAGCGAAATGTCTTACATACATTGTACTCGTAACTTTTCTATCAAAACCAATGTCACTTAAATGTACTGTACTCGTGTCGTGTATTATCTGTGTGTGTGTGTGTAATTGATTACATTTTTGTTTCTTTCGTAGCTAAAGAGGACATGAAGTGAACAGAGTATGATTTGATGGTTCTAAATAAAAACAGATAAACTATTTTTGATACCGAAGCAGCAGCCGGTGTTAGCTCCAGTGACACCAATTGTTTGCTATTAAGCATTTAAACCGCATGATAGTGACATTGGAAACAATGAAAAAATGAAACTAATTATTGTAATTAAAATATAATCAAGTTTATTCCTTTCTATTGTTTTGTGTTCTTTTGAATTTTATGTTCAGGTTTTTTACAGTGGTGTAGTGTGGAGTCTGTTACGTCATCTATGTATTCAGGCGTTTGTATTAATAAAGCCCAGTTCTATGTAAACATAATACACACATCGGCCACGACATGAAAATACATGGACATTATGAGAGATACTGTACGTTACAAACAAAAGAGCAATGGTTTAAGTACAAAAAAAGCCTTAAAATTTACACAGATAATACGTCCAGCAGGTGTACTATGTTACCACCGGGTCAAATGTAGGTCGACACTGGCCTATTCAAGGTTTGTTTACGTGTAGATCTTGGTTGATTCAGCATTGTGGCAAACCGTTTTCCAAGGAACATAGAACACAGGCCAGCATGTCAATATCTACAATGGATATAACGCTGAACAATGGAATCAAAATGCCGTTGTTTGGGCTCGGGACGTGGCAGGTAGGTGTTTTACAGTAGTATGATAGCTGCTGCAGATAAAAAAAAAACTAAAAAAACTCATTCACACATCTTATACCTATTTGTGTTAACGACTACGAACAAATCACTTTAATATTTTGATATTACGTGATCTGTCACCTATGACTGTTTTAGAATTTATTGCAAAAATAATTAGCGCCGTCCCTGAGTAATCATGATCCCCTTACGAGTGTCCGTTTATAAAAAGCTGTGCTGAGTAATAGATGTATGTGTGATAGTAAAGCAATCTCGTTCTATTTATAGGTAAGGTCTTCTGAAGATAGTGTGCGTTCGAATTTATATGTTTATATGTTTGCTTCCTTTTAATAATGCGAATCTGATGCCGACTGTAGTTGTAGATTAATGTATGTAATGATTGAATAAAAAAAAAAGATGCGAATCGATAATATGGATTAATTCTACAACAATATGATTTGGTATTACCGGAAATTGTGTATATACGAGAGCTACATTGACAAACAATTAAACACAGGTTGATGATAGCAAGCACACAAAGGATAGCAGGGTTCTCCCTAGGCCATTTAGCCGAGACGGAGCTTTATCACATACCTGTTGAATCTTGTTATAGTAATACAAGCAATTTTCAGATCATGAAATACAACGTTCTGTTTTGCACATGTGCAATACGGAATGTTGTATTTACCTACTAGCCGGAACTACTTTTTATGGGAATCCCCTTGTCATGGCGAACTGAAAAGTTCCCGGTAGTTCTACGACATACGGAAGGTATGTGATAAAAGCAAGACCACAAACTTATCAGAAAGCACTCATGTATTAAGCGGACGTATATATTAACTAGTGCGCTCTGCGCACTCGTGACTATATATTCGTCTGCGCAATAAACTTGTGCTTTCCGATTCGTTAGAAAAACACAAGTGTGTGGTCTTGCATATGTATCAGCTTCACGTAGAAACCCACACAGCTTATATTGGCCGTACTGAGAGGGTTTTTCAAAAAATGAATTTGACATTGATTAAAAACGAATCTTCCCCAAGTCCAGTAATGAACACCACTGAGGGGTTTGAAATTAGTGGAGGAGGCAAAGTCCACATGTGTCCGGCAAGCGTGCTCACTCGAGCATAAAACACAACTGTAAGACTTGAAAACACACCACTTGATAAGGCTATTATGAATTAATTTACTCACATATGATTGCCTTTGACAATGCTAAAACAGCGTGTGTATTCAGTTAGTGATGGTCGCCATCTTGGATTGTGTAAAATACAAAACGGAAAACGAGATGAAAATTCGGATTTCTCATTTTTAAATAGGAAGAAGGGCCCGAATAAAAAAAAGTTGTTTAAACCTTTGATCAAATTTACTGACAATATTTAATGCATTTTAGAAGAAAAATATATTTAAAGTGACAGAAATTAAGGGCCACATATTTATTATGACCTCTCCCCCTAAATTTGATATGGTATTGTTGAGCATGCTTCAGTGCTGTGTCCTTCATGAACGTTCGTTAAAAATAAATCATATCAACTTAAAACAAAATCTGGGGAGAACCCTCGATAGAAACCATTGTAATGACCTAGATTCGTGGTTAAGGGAATTACTCTTTGCAGTAGTGATGGGTTTGTACGAACAGGAAGTCAAACCCCCTATGATATATCCATTTGCATCTCTTACACAAGTAAAATATAAACACATAAAATACCAAATATGGCCACATATCCAACTTTTCAGTTGAAATGACAGTGACACGTTGCATGAATGTACATCAATGAATTAAACCTACCCAAAAGTTGTTTTTGTCAACAATCGACAAACCTTTTTCAGTCCAATTTTATAAGAAATGTGTACTTCAAGTACCAAAACAAAAATCACAAACAAAGATTAAAAGACTACCTAGGGTAAACAAAGGACAGATTGACACGAAGACAAATTACAAGCACAATAAGACTAGGTTTACCAAACGAGCTCCTTTCGTACAGTATGCTTAATGAACGATTTATATAACCTCGACCGCATATTTGGTAGGGCGAGAACCGAGGTACTGAAAAAAATCTCATGATAATTTATTGTGCATGATACAAAATGGCAATACACTTTATTTTTAACGTACAATGATTTTTTTTTCCTAGTACGATCACAATGCCGACTAAACAATTTCTTCATGGTCATTGTAAATTCACATCTCTAGAATACGTACTCAAATGTACGTCGATCAAGCGTATTCTTTCACAAACAAAAGGGTATTTTCAAAATATATTTCTCAAGCAAGAAAAATAAGAATTTTGAGTGAAATTTCATAGGCATTAAAATGATTAGGTGTACACTTGTATGTGTCGTTAAATATCTTAGAACTATTACTATTTATTAATACGGTATTATCACACATGGTTACTGTAATGGGAGAGATACCATTGTCAAGATTTAATTAATTTTCGTTCAGCACATCATAAATTGGTAAGCTGTGCAAAAATACTGTTTTATCAAAGAGTCAAAGATTAGTAAAATACTGTAAGGTGTCGAGAAAATAATTCCGGCTTCTTGTAATTAATGAAACAAGCTAAGCCGTACTTTTTTAATATCGTTGAACTTTATTCCATTAAAATAAGCACGTTAAGATATTTATCTTGTTTAAATCCATGCACTTATATAATGTATTTATAATGGAAACCTTGCGGTTCATCGCTGAAATATATTTGATTGACTACAATATTTTTAAATTGCTATACATGTTTGTGTCAGACGAGAACAATTGCTCCCATTTGGAATATTATCCTCAAATGGACAAAAAACTTGCATCTTACATTAATGGAACTTGCTAAACCTTCTTTTGTATTCAAACCTCGTTGAACTTTTCATAAAAGTAAGCACGTTAAGGTATTTCTCTTGTTTGAATCCTGTACTTATCCCATGCATTTATAATGGACACTTTGAGGTCCATTGCTGGAATAAATTTGAATGATAACATTATTTGTAAATTGCTGGACGTGTTTGTACATGTATAAGAAGGGAGAAAATCCACCCATGGTTAAAAAACTTATATTTGTTTCATTAATGGAATTGATAGCCCTTATTTTGTATTGAAATATCGTTGAACTTTTCATAAAAACATAAACACATTAAAGTGTTTATCTTGTTTAGATCTGTATATATCCTTATTCCAGAGTAAACCGGAGGATGTGAAGTCTGCCGTTCGGACCGCTTTAGACACTGGGTACCGCCTCATTGACACGGCTTTCAATTACCAAAACGAGGAGGCAATAGGTGAAGTCCTAAAGAAGTATACTGAAACCGGCAAAGTAAAGAGGGAGGACCTTTATATAACGACGAAGGTATTGAAGGCAGGCCATTATAAATAATGCTAATGAAATAAACTGAAAGCAATCGAATAGGAAGGATCCGCTGACTATTACGTAGGTGTAGTAGGACGAGGAAAATTGATAAAGATAGTCGCCGTCGCTTGGCACTCAAGCCCGATGCTCTACCACTGAGCTAAACGGAAATCCCCTACAGCTTACGTTTGTAAGGCAACCTAATCAATGCACATCTTTTACAAAAGTACTGAAGGGTTATATTCAAGGTAAAGTATGGCGCAAAAATCCAAATGAAAGATTTGATAATCATCACCAGAGAAAAAGAGGGTAAGTTACAATGTATGGTTAATATAATACAATCAATACAAAGGCGGGAACCGGGATATAACTAACCTAAATAAACCAAGAAACTTGAAAAGTAGCCTCTGTTTGTGACAGCTGTACGGAATAGAAGCTGACATATTGTAAGTATATTCTTAAAAAAAGTAATCAAAGTCAGTGAAAGGGGGAGGCAATAATGCCTAAAAAGGCTAAGAAACAGATGTATTACTTGTGGATAATGCCACTAAACAAACGGAGATGACCAGTATACTGTGTACCAGTTATGTCGCAAGAAGGGTGAATGAGAGATACATTTTAGCAACGCCGAAAATGCCCAGACACAACTGGAGAGATAAACTAATAAAATCACATTCTTCTCAAAATGTAACGTTTTCTGAGAATCAGAACTTTCATTTTCACATCTTCTTCATTGTCAAGTAATAACAAGATTCCATATTTAGGTCAATTTAGGTCAAATTGATCATCTAAAATCGATAAATGTTGCATTTCTTATCTCTTAACGTTGTAAAGCTATATCATTTTATCATTAATATAAAGGTCAGCAAAGGTCAAATATAATATCAATATTGATTCATTTGGCAAAGCTTTTATTCCTGTAGGCTATAGTATGCGTAGTATTTCTTAAACCACTTACCAAGCATTTTCGTATCACGTGCGTACAGTTTGCGTCTACGGCTTTCCGCTCAAAAACGGTTTGTCAACCGTTCGGTTATGTACTGTCTTTTTAACGGAATAATACTATGACGAAATGAAACGCTGATATAATTCATTAGTAACCACATATAAAGAAAATTGATATACACGCTGAATATAACTCAGCAGGCAGTGTACATAGTATTTCCTTCAGGTGTACGTCGAATTCAAGTCAGGACGTCACCGACCAATATTTGGCATAGATAAAACGTCAAAATGATGGCAGATATTACGTAAAATTTACGTCTATACGTAACCATTATCTGAAGTAAATTAAACTGTCTTAGGCCAGTTTTTAATTATCATAAAACACAACAATTCTAAATAAAAGCTGAAAATAAATGTAAAGAAAATTGTATTCTTGAGTACTGGTGTTGTTGATATGATATTTATTTTGGTATGTATCGTAATTTGCAAATGAACATGATTCATTTACTTCGGATTCCCAACTCTCAATTGAAGATCGTTCAACATTCTTGAATCTTATGTTTAATTTCAATAATTAAACATACATGTAGCCCCATTAAACTGTAGATAGCATGATGCCGATAGAACACCAACTGTATACACCACGTTTAGACCAATAAGGGCAAACCAGGATTTCCTTTGTTCCATTATCAGTGCTAGTAACGAGGTCGAAATATGCACACCTGTTGTCGTAATAAAAGAGAATAACTAAGTACATTTGTATATTAAAGCATTTATTATATTGTTTTTAATTGGTTGTTATATTATTTCACCTTCATGTAAATACTAAGTAGATGCATTGAGCAGACCATAACACGGTGATAAATAGTCATCTAAATTACTTAAGTATTCATGAATTAGCCCCGGTTTTATGTATGTATGTGTATACATTTATATTATTTTAACTAAACTTAGTATCAGCCAAATTTGCATTTGATACTGACATGAATAAATGTATGCTCTTCTGTCCCTCCGTTTCCCATTTACATTATGGTTGTACTTATTCCATGTATTTATAATGGAAACTTTTAGGTCAATTGGATCGACAATACTATTTGTAAATTTCTGAAAATATTTCTATAAGAAGAAAACATTGTTCCCGTTTTAAATATTATCCCCCATGGTCAAACCACTTAAATATGTATGATTGTATGAACATATTACCATTATGCAAATATGTGAAAATGTTCAGCCAACCAGAAAGAACAGCAAATGTGTAAAGGTACCTGACGATGAAAAAAGAATAGATGGAGAAGAACGGAAGATTGCATTTAATCTCAACTTATATTTGACGTAAAGAATTACTTATTTTTCACTAAGGCAATGATGTCAATATGACTTGAAATATTTCCCATTATTTCATCTACACCTGACATCAGGATTTAATGTCAAGCTGACGAAGATATAATGTCCAATGCTGCTTATATAATAAGTCAAATCAATGGTAGACACGGTGAAACTAAATTAAAAATAAAAACCAAAGCTTTACCCAGTACTGATATATATTTACAGTTTCAAGTGTAATTGACTCAATAATCTTGTTGGGGTCATTGTCATTATCACTCGATAACGACAGTCATTCTCGTGCGCGTAGTGATACATACACCGTGTACATAATTATGTGTACGTTACACTTTGTAAAAACCCGGAGGTTTCCATTAGTATTGTCGGAAGTAAACAGAATTGCCGGGAATACCATATTTGTACAATTCATTCGGTGTATTCATGCAAAAGATACATTGTTGAAATGTATCCATACATTATTGAAATTTATACAGTCCGATGACGTCACGTTGTTTACAACGCCCGATGATTGCTGCACCGACTGAGAGGACGGCTGGATTTTGTGTTGTTTTACGTGTTTGTGTTCATTTACATACGTTTACTTTGATGACATAGTGTAAACAGTACCCAGAAATACGATATTAAATTCAATCTTGACAATAACGTTCGATAAACGGCAATTTTGCTGTAATGTTTTCAACTGCACTCGATAAGGCTGGTAGATAGTGGTAATCACAGGACGGGTTCGATAAATTTACATGACCTACATGTCATTTGCTTGCCTAAATACTGATGGTAAGATCACAGCACACGAACTGGGTTCTATGATGATTGAAGTTAAAATCAAAATTTTAAAACTACTTCGAGTGTTTGTGATTTTGTAGACACTATGCCTAGTTACCGTTGGCGTGGAGTCTACAAAAACACAGGAGAGTTCCAAAACTGCGAGCCGTTGGTGACATATTATAGCGTTCCGGAATTAAACGGGACATCTTTGGGTATTAAATATACTGTTGAGATAAGCTTATAATGATTTTATTATAACAGTTTATGAATGCGAGTGAAATATTGTACGAGTGCATCGGGTCACGCAACTTTGCAAGTTGTGCTAAAATAGCCACATAGAGCAACTTTGAAGTAAAAAATATCGCTAATGAGTTATGATTACATTTTTTAAGAGCGAACATACAAACCAAAGTGATGTTTATGTTGAAGATATGCAGCCGATTTTGTTCGTATAAGTCATGTCACGGTGGCCTTCGGCGCGTGGCGCGAAGCGTAGACTAACCGTATCACACATCGGGCTTGAATGGAATGCTTGTTATCCTCTCGTGGGATATATTACGGTTAAAAACACGCGTTTTATGTAATATTAAAGAAAAATACTACAAATATAAGGATAAACTTTCTATTTAGTTTAGGTTATCGGATGATAACTACAATGGAACTCGGGTAAATTAATCATAATCGGCTTTACCGATTATTCGATTTACCCGAGTTCCATTGTAGTTATTACCCGATAACCTAAATTAAATATAAAATTAATCCTTAAATCAACTAGTTTTAAATTCGGTAAACTGACGACGAAGATGTTTTTATTAAAGATCATTGCCTATTACCAGTGTGTCGCATTGGCTGTGTCCTGTCAGCGTTTCGAGCATTTCGATTAAGATAAGAAATGTAATCGGCTTTTATCAAAATAAAAATCGAATTGTTTCGCAAAAGATTCATTCCTTACAAGTGTCATCCGTACCGTTTGCGTAGCACTTACGTATAGTCTCCATAGTAATTGCGTGGTATTTACGTAGCGTTTCCATAATGATTGCGTAACATTTCCGTAGCACTTGCGTAGCGTTAACATAGTAATTAGGGCCCCGTATCGGAGATACGGGTGCCCTATAGTAATCACTCTGTCTGTCTGTCTGTCCGTCCACAAATTTTGTTCCTGGCTGATAACTTTGGTATTTATTGACCGATGTACATGAAACTTGGTCAAGATGTTCAGTTCACAAAAATACACATTGAGGTAAAAAGTCAAGGTCAAAGGTCAAGGTCATTATGTTCAAAGGTCAAGATCAACTTTTACATCTTTTTACTGATGAACATTTTGTTATGACATTATGAAGCAAAGTTGATCAGAATTAAACAAGAAGTCAACTGACCAAAGGTCAAGGTCATTGGGTCAGGGGTCAAGGTAAAATTTTGTAGCTTTTCACTGGTGAACATTTCGCTATGACATTATGGAGCAAAGTTGTTCGGAATTAAACAAAAAGACACACTGAGGGAAAAAGTCGAGTTCAAAGGTTAAGTCATTAGACTCAAAGGTCAAGGTCAAATTTTGCATCTTTTCACTGATGAACATTTTGTTATGGCATGATGAAGCAAAGTTGATTAGAATTAAACAATGAGTCAACTGACCAAAGGTCAAGGTCATTAGGTTGAAGGTCAAGGTTAAATTTCGTATCTCTTCACCGGTGAAAATTTCGCTATGACACTTTGAAGCAATGTAGCTCAGAATTAAACAAGGATTCAATTGACCAAAGGTCAAGCTCACTGGGTCAAAGTTGAAGGTTAAATTTTGTACCTTTTCCCTGATGAACATTTTGTTATGACATTATGAAGCAATGTTGTTCAGAACTTAACACAGAGTCAACTGACCTTAGGTCCAAGTTACGGGGTCCAAAGGGTCCAGGTCAAGTTTTGTATTTTTCACTGATGAACATTTTGTTATGATATTAAGAAGCAAAGTTGGTCGGAATTAAAGAATAAGTCAACTGACCAAAGATCAGGATCACTGGGTCAATGGTCAAGGTGATTTGGGTCCAAAGGTCAAAGACAAAGTGGATCTCTGACTTTGACCCTGGCTGTTGATGGAGGAGGTATATAAGGCGAAATAAAACAAATCAAAGCTAACAAATGAGTATTGCACCATATTTACATTTCTGTTAGCCCAGCAAATATGGAGGTGGAAGGAAACAAGACTCACATCATAGTACATGTAAAATGTATATTTTGCTTCCTTGCGATTCTTTTTGAAGTCCAAATATCAAACGTCAAGCTCAGCTATATGGGCAGATTGCTTCTTGGTGATTATGGGGGATATATTACCACAAGACGGGGCCCTTACTGACCTGTCAGTGTTCTAGTTGTGTAACGTTTCCGTTGCACGTGCGTAATGTTTCCATTGTAATTGTGGAGCATAAGCAATTACAAAATATATAGTATCGCTTGCAGTTTATGTTATATAAGATTTTCGGGATTGTTCAAAAGGCTACAGTTTCCTTTACAGAAGAAGATTTGTTTTCCCGACAAACGTACAACGCAGATGTGAACTTGATTAAGATTGACAAAGCTTGTTAAGTCGATGAAGCGGGAAAAGCTTGCATATTTACCTGTCTGGAACACCTGTTCATATTTTCTTTGTGATTTTCCTTTGAAACTATTCTTTTGCATATTTTACCAAAGTTTCAAATTCTTGATTACAAATTTTCATTTTGTTTACTATTCGATATCAAGCTGTTGTAGTATTTTATATGAGTATGATACTAAATACATAATATGTACATTTACAGTTAGGAAATATCCTCACCCGACCAGCTGACGTTCAGTATGCCATGTCCGAAAGTCTGAGAAAACTACAGGTTTCATACGTGGACCTTTTCCTGATACACATCCCTTTGGTGCTGAAGGTAAGTTGTAAGTTTCACACATGTTGAGTTCCAATAACCGTTTTCGCCACATGTATTGCAGAGACCGAGTATCTCTTTCTGGGCTCCACCTCGTGTATACATTGTATGAAAAGAATGCGATGGTGTATGGTAAATGTACATGCAGCGAAACTTTCGTCCTCTACCATATTAATTCCATGTTAATTTCGCCCTTTACATGTGATTACTATACACGTTAAATTTCGTAATTACATTCGCTGCCGTGATACCTTCGCTCTAATTAAAAAGGGCGAAAAAGGCGAAAGTGAAACTGTGGCGAAAGTTTTCCGGCTTACAATACTTGAGTGCCTTGGAGTCGCCGCAATTCATGTTGCAATATTTCCGTTCTGGTTATGATTCCCGAATTGCTCTTTTAATTTATTTATTTATTTATGACTTATTTATTCGTTCATGTAATCGTACAAAGTTGAAGAGTCTACATTAAAATACAACTGATAATTGTATAAATATTTCCATGTCATCAAAAACAGTACGTAGCAATACGAAATAGGCCGATATGTTTTTATTTTATTCACTGGCACTTCGAATTTTATTGCGGACGAATACATTCATTAATGAACGTTGTGGGTGTGTTCTTCCGCCAAGTGAATGAGTGCCATGTGTCAGACCCCAGAAAAGGAATAAATGACTGATATTGTGTTTATGAAAAAGTACACTTATTCTTAAAAAGTCATAATTGTTTTCCGCATAATTAACTCAATTCATTGATAAATGTATAATTCCTTTGCTTAGAAACAGGCCGACCCATACAATATCTTACCCATGAAAGATGGCCAGCTTGACCATGATGGCGCAGTTGACTTTGAAGGCGTCTGGAAGGCGAGTTATACTTAAGCTATCTGCTAGTTTCATACATAACCATTGTATTGGCCATAGTTTCATTGGTGGACAGTGTTTTATTCTCTTGTAAGCGATTACATTCCGAGATTGTCCAGACATATGGTATAACACAGTATAAGGTACCCTGTCCCATGCAGGCAAAATACTAGATATTCTACTGTGGTTGTTCGTATATACATGAGCACCCCGATACAGCTGTAGATTAATTGTGCAAAAGGTAGTTCTCGTGGCTAGAGTGACGGTATACAATTTGAGATCAAGGATTCGAATCCCTGTTTGCTTCTCTAGATTGTTTTTTCACTCAAAACACTATTGTTGACTTTATCTTGTAAATTTTGTCTGAATTATATTTTCTCTAACGTCTCTCAAGTAATAAAGCTACAGTAATGCCGAAAAACAAGTTCTAGCATGTATTGTTAATCTTTGGCAGGGTACAGGTATCTTTAAATATAAACTTTACATTTCTCATTATTCGTATTTGTAATATAAATAGGAGATGGAAAAACTTGTTGACGAAGGGAAGACAAAGAACATTGGCATATCAAACTTCAATGTTGCACAAGTGGAACGAATCATGAAGGTGGCACGTGTTAAACCAGTGGTCAATCAGGTAGGGTAATGCTCTCACGTGTTACACCAGTGGTGAATCAGGTAGGATAATGTTCTCACGTGTTAAACCAGTAGTGAATCAGGTAGGACAATGCTCTCACGTGTTAAACCAGAAGTGAATCAGGTAGGACAATGCTCTCACGTGTTCAACCAGTAGTGAATCAGGTAGGACAATGCTCTCACGTGTTAAACCAGTAGTGAATCAGGTAGGACAATGCTCTCACGTGTTAAACCAGTAGTGAATAAGTTAGGACAATGCTCTCACGTGTTAAACTAGTGGTGAATCGGATAGGATAATGTTCTCACGTGTTAAACCAGTGGTGAATCGGGTAAGATAATGGTCCAATGTATTAATTCAGTGGTGAATTAGGTAGGTCGATAATTGCACGTTTTACATCAGTGATCAATCAGGTAGGGTTATGCTCTCACGTGTTACACCAGTGGTGAACCGAGTAGGACAATGCTCTCACGTGTTAAACCAGTGGTGAATCAGGTAAGATAATGCTCTCACGTGTTAAACCAGTGGTTAATCGGGTAAGATAATGGTCCAATATATGAATTCAGTGGTGAATCAGGTAGGTCGATAATTGCACGTGTTACATCATTGGTGAATCAGGTAGGATAATGTTCGCACATGTTGAACCAATGGTGATTAAGGTGGGATGATGCTTACACGTGTTCAACCAGTGGTGAATTAGATGCGATAACGCGTGCACATTGTGTTTCAGTTATGAATCAGGAAGGATAATGCTCTCACGAGCTAAATGAGTAGCAAATGTGGAAGTATAACTCTCGCAAATGTTAAACCAGTGGTGCATGAGATAGAAAAATAATAGGCACGTCTTAAACCAGTGCTGAACTGAGTAGGACACTGCTCTCACGTGTTAAACCAATGGTGAATCGGGTAGGATAATGCCCTCACGTACGTATTAAACCAGTGGTGCATGAGGTATGAATATAAAAGCACGTGTTAAACCATTAGTGAATCGGGTAGGATAAAGCTCTTACGTATGTGTTAAACCAATGGTGAATCGGGTAGGATATAGCTTGCACGTAAAATATACAAACGGAAATGTTTCACACGCGAAAATAACCACTTTTTCAGTATATCACATGTTATTGTATATTTTCTACATAACCTTTATTAAGGGAGGTGCATGAATATGATTAGAAATGATTTGATATAGTATTCTATTTTTCTGTAATTTGTTATTATACGGACAAATCTAAGAACAATAATGTTTAAATCAAAGTTTGTTTAATTAGATTGAAATCAGTTTACTATAATTGAGTTTAACCTTAAATGGGTCGTTGTGAAACATATACATCATGAATGAATCAGATCCGCTCTACATCGTTCAATTTATAATTATTATGTATCGTCTTTAGGAGAACCTTTGGGAAGCTTAATTAAACGAGAGAAATAAATACATGTATGCTAGTTTCGTTATATATAAAGTTGGTATTTACATCATTTTTCTACAGGTTGAGTGCCACGCCTACTTTCAACAGAAAGAATTAGAAGCTGCAATGAAGAAACATGACATAGTGATAATGGCCTACGGTTCACTTGGATCCCCCGGCAGTGCAGCAATAATTACGTGTGTTTCTATATTCACACCCTTGCACTGAAACCAACATCAGAGGATAGATTTATAATTCGTGGGCTAAGATATTGACTTCAACAAATGGTTTCTGAAAGGAAGACCATACAAAACAGAACATTCCATGTACTTGTTCAGACTTGGTTCATTGATAAAAAATATAGAAAAAAAAAATCTTATGTTTCTTTGAGTAAAGATCTGAGAGCGCAATAGCTCTATAGCAACATATTGAACTGGGTTTCCACGACTAATATAGAATATATGTACAAAAGAAGTAGATGACGAGGATTCTGTTTCTTTTATGAAAATATCCAAGATGAAAGAAACAAAAACAAAATGAACAACAGTGTTCTATTTCATGTAACAGGAGAGTAAAAATTCAACAAAGTCATACCTGGTTTATCAAACCTGGATAAACGAATTGAACATAATAATAATTAATAAACCACCTAAAATGTTTTGAATCTTGATTAACTCTAGGATTTTATTTTTATTTCTCTGATTTTCAGGATATTCGTGTTTATAATGTAGTCTTTATGTTGACAAAAGCTACTACTTCTGTAGTATACAATTTTGAATATATTTTAAGTAAGTTTACGTGTATTAAGTGTCATTTAGATAGATAAGATTGAAATTCTTGAAATAAGCAAATATAACTAATTTAGGTATACTTTAGTAAGTTAAGTATAAATCTGAATATAAGTCAGTAAAAGGTAATCTGTAAATTATACAAATAGGTATGAAATTTTTGGAAATAGGTTTTTGTTGACATTCGAAATAAGGAAAAAGAAAACAAGATGGTTCAATTTAGCTTGCAGCACGGTAAACGTTATCATTTTAATTATTGAACACATTTACAATCTGTTGTAAATACAGAGTACCAGGAGAGTCCCCACCCCCTGTGTTGCTTCAGGATCCCGTCTTAGGCGAGATGGCAAAAAAGTACAAGAAGACTCCAGCTCAGGTTGGTACTCATGCTAAAACCAGTCTATATAAGGAGACATGTTCCTTTTTCCTGATATACTACGTACACAAATATTCGGTGATAGATACATGTACCTTAATTTCTACACTTTTTCTTGTACGTAAGTTATTAGTGCATTTTATGTATGTGTTATTGTGACTTCAAACATGTATTGTTTGTCGGTATGCATGTTTCGGAAAATTTGACTTAATATAACGACAGCAACTCCAAATTATTGGAGGTCTCCATACCTATTACTACCAAAATATAAAACAAAATTTAAGATAAATGGAATTTTATCAATCAATTATATAAATAAATCTTGTGAGTAAAAAAGTCCAGATATGGTATCAAACCCGCCATTATTTCTACGTAATGATATAATCATAAGTATATTGCATTGCACAAGTTTTATGTAATATTTAGATAGTTTTACATTTGTGATGTTCATGTACACCATGTAATACAAGATAATAATATGTATGTGTATGTATGGAAATGTGTTTATGGAAAAAAGCTGAATAATAATAATAAAAAAAAATGATAAATTGTATTTACTTAAGCGAAAACGGATTTATAACATTTAATTACCAATACTTGAAAATCGATACTAGCTGACCAAATACTTTTCAAAATAATAACTAAACATTGTATATAACATGTTTTTTCAAGTCTGCGATAGAAGATTTGATCCTTATCACGTGATAGCCATTTTCTGTTGTTATCATTGCAATTTTCGAAGTAATTATTGACCATAAAAAGTGCAAACAACTGGTAGAGATACACTCTAGCTGCTATCATACTGGGGAATGTATCTACAATTCAAAGAAAAGTTACACTTAGAAACATGTGAATTTCTGTTACAAACTAAGACCGTTACGTATGATACATTTAAATGCATGCATGAACAATACGAAGACAAGTATATAATACTATTAATTATAAAGCATTATAGGGGAGACAACCCCATTATCCATCATAAATATTATATTCCGGATAGCACACGGCAGTAATAGCATTTCGCCGATGCAAACATAGTTTTTATTTGAAGCTTCTGAGACAAAATCGCATACCTTTTAGTTTTAGGTGTATTTTCTTTTAATGCAAATACTACAAAAAACAAATGAATGGTAGAAAAAATTCTATTCGAATTTTTTCTCATTTTGTACCTTTCTTCCTTCCCGTAACACTTCAATTTTGCAAATCTTAAAATTACTTCGAATAATTTTGGAACAAATACTTTTGTTTCGGAAAAAAGTTTTAACAATGTTAAAATGTGATAGCAACATTTCATAAGTTAATATATTAATAATCAGCGCTGAGGTGTATTACTTAATGTTTTACATTTGTAGACCAACAGGAAGTAAATAACTAACAACGTACAAGGTAATGTTCAGTCCAAAACCGTTATCATCCGAAAAACCCAGACATAGTCCCAAGAAGGTGAATGCGTAAAGGAAATATGTTGAAATTCTAATCTGTGATGAAATAATGTATGCTTATATCAAAAGTATATGAAGTGCAATAATTTCCTCCGTATTATATTCCAGATTCTGATAAGGAACTTGCTCCAGAGGAAGGTGATAGTTATCCCGAAAAGTGTAACGCCCAGTAGGATACAGGAGAATGGAAACGTAAGTAACAGAGAAGTAACAACACTCTTGATTCGATTAAATCATCATCAATAATACGTTGTAAATGACCAAATGATCGGACAAACTCAAATTCCAAATATATGCAACACTGTTTACCAGTAAGTTTCCGCCGAAGTGTAACTTTCGTCTTTTTCGCCCTCGGTGTAGAGGGCGAATCCCTCATAGGAGCCAACATATGTTGACAACATAATAAAAATAGCAATCAAATGTGAAGAGCGAAATCAACCCTGGGCGAATACGGATTTAACCAGGGCGAAAGTTTGGCTGGGCGAAAGTATCCCGGTATACAGTATAACATTTTTAAGCTATCATCTAATACTATTCGCTTTCTGCGAAGTTAATAAAAAAAGTAGGCGAAGAATATGTAGTAAGAACAAAGGACACACACATCACAGTAAAACTTTAAAATAATTGTAATGGATACGGTGCTCCAAAACGAATAATTAGCATGTGCCTTTTTTCGTGTGATTGTTTTATGTTAAATTAAGGGCCCTCGAGAACACTACCTGCCTTAAAAGCTGTTTTCTGAGCACTTTGTACTTGAACGTCAATATAGCCCACAAACGAGAGGCTTCTCGAGTAAATGGGTAATATATTTATGGTCTACAATGACGTCAGTATTGTTGTTTGCAGAGATATCACCTTTGAAGATAATTCGCTAAGGGAAATATGATTCGCTTCATTTTCACTTCTGCAAGGTTATTACAAGTTTTACGTAAAACACACACAGGTGATTGCATCATTAACATTGCGCAAGATATACAGCATGCCAGTAATTAATCACGCTACACCATAAATAGCCAACAACATTAGATGTAGCACCTTATCTAGCTAGAAAAGGCGACTCTTAAGCGCTCTACTGTACATAGCTATACGATTTATACAATCAATACAATTGATATATATATATTCAATGATACATTAATCAATACAATTTTGAAGAATTTGCAAGAGTTGTATGTATGCGTTTGTGCTGGAGATGTATTGTGTTCTGATTGTTGTGGGACCATGCTTCCAACTTCATCTTTTATACTGCCATCTCCCTCTAATGCTACAGTACAGATTCCTTAACACCAATCCAAGACCATTATATTTTAAAAGTGACAGGTAAAATCACTTTTTCTGAATTTTATATTCCATGCTTACGACGATTTCAGGGATCAATCTCCAGCCACCTGCGTGGAAGAGCGGAGTGTTAACCACATGGCCAATCCGCCGAATCAACTGTTCCCTCTTTTAAGGACTCATCAGTGAGGCTAGAGGTAGACTCTACTGGTCCCACCAGCAGAGTCTACTACATTGTATTTAAATGAACTAACATGATCGGAGAACATGAACATGTGGTTGCATCTATAACATTTGGTAATGTAAATGTAAATAATAATATACGCTTTTGATATATTTCAGGTGTTTGATTTCAAGATTTCCTCTGAAGATATGGCCACTATTGCCGGCATTGACAAGGACTTGCGAATGTTTAAATTCCACATGTAGGTTATCAATGATATAAAAAAACATATAAAATATTATCAACTAAATTTAGTCACCATTGCTGACAGCACAGTTTCCTGCAGCTGGACTTATTCGTTTACAATCATAGAATTCATGTCAAAATGAACACAATACCTTTCCAGCTACAAAACAAGTTTTTAACAGCAGTCAGCTGGATGACTTTGTTTCAGGTGCTGATATTCGATCAATTGCTGTTTACTTTCCTTTTCCATTTATACCTATTGCAAAAGCCATTGACTGTGTTGAAACATCGCAAGAGTGTATGTAGACAGCGACCTTTAACCGACTTTACGTGCCTTTAAAAGTATCAATGTGTGAGACAATCACATACAATGTATATGTTTTTTATTGTATGTTGTGTTTTTCTCGTGAGGTCACGTTGCTCTTATAATCTGATGTAGTGTTATGTGCTTACATCAAAGTTCTTATAGTAGTATATTTTTATAAAGAAAATAGTTCAAAACAATTAACCGTAAAAATATTTTGATATAATACCAACTTCATTGTTATTATCTTTCAGAATGGCCAACGCACCCGATTATCCTTTCAATTGTCCCGTATAGAAGCTGGAATTGGAACTATGACTTCATGCATAAGCTGTGTGTGGAATTGAGGTGCTATGGACAATCAGATTTAGTTACTTGTTTCCAGTGTGTCAGAAGTGTGGTTCAGTAACATTTAGATGTACGGTGAACAATTTCCAAGATTCCATCTTAGCTACAATACATAAGGATTAAATTTTGATCTGTCAAATATTCAAGCAAATATGAATGGGGAAATTTACTTACACAACGACATGAACGGTCGTAGCGAAGGTCGTTCATGTGAAGTGTGCTTTTTGTTTTGTTTCATTGATTATTCAAGGATATTAAATATAAATATGTGAAACTAAATTCACTTTGGTACATGCTTTCTTATCGTGAGTTTATCCAGATGTATTCCCTACATCGCCAATATTTTGATCGCTGTGTGTGGACCCATATGGGACATCGAAATACCTTGTCAGTTTGAGCTTTGTCTGAAAGATATCATGGATACGAATTACGATAGAACGTGTCACTGTTGTGACAAAAGGTATAGTATACTGTAGTTTAAGCTGACTCATTATCAAAAATGTTAATAACAATAAAAGAGAGAGTAAGATAAATATTAAAATAATAAAAATAACGATAAACTGTAGATTTAGCAACTTTTCCAAGGTAATCTGGTTTATGAAAAGGGAGACAACTCCGATGACAATGGCTTATTCAAAATGGGGATTTGAAAATCATAAAAGGAGTCCGAAGAAAAAGCCAGCGGATCGTACTAATATTTAAAGCCGTTTTGGTTCACATGTGCTACTATAACCGATCACAGAAGTTGTAACAAAGCACAAAAACAAAACCGGCTGTATGTATTAAACAAGGTGCTTTATGTCTTATTCTAGTATCGGTATTACCGTGTTCTTGTTACACCTACGTTGGAACATTAGAAAACACTGACATTGGCCATCACATGATGATCACATGATCTAGCACATGTTGCTTTCTTTCAATGTAAAAGCGTGAAATGTGAAGTGCTGCGAAAAGTGATTATATGTACAAAATAACGTGAAAATATTATATATTAGATGTACACACCAAACACGTCAATTATAAACTCATGATGGATTGTGTTAATGTAGTTGTTTTATCTGATGCAACATTTGCCTAAAAGAACTATATTGTGAGTGTAAAAAGGAATTGTTCTTTCATTAGCGATGCTTCCGTCGGGAGCTTGTGACTGTTTGGACTCCTTCTTGTTGTGTTTTGAATTACTAAAAGTTTGCAATATACATCATGGTCCATGTATGTATGAGTGCATAGTACAGTGTATGAACAAATGATCATAGTTCAAATGTTCCTAGTTCTTAAAAGTCTGTGTAAAATCCGAAGTCACGTAACGATATGATTTCCTGATACAAAAGTGAAGTAACATTTGGCAGATGCGCTTTTCATTTTGCTATGCATCTTATGAAACTGCAGGGGATGTTAAAGTGATTTGCATCCAACACTTTCTACTTAAAGATGTGTTCTTGCGGAATTTTATCACTAAATGGTTTTCTTTTGTTATGTTACTGATTTTAATGCTTGATATGACACGATTGTTCGCTTAACGTGTAGAAATTAAAGCAGCGGCTATTTTTTACCGTTGCAACACAGAGAGGTTGACATATATATCAAAATATGTTAAAGCGAAAGAAATATCAAATCAATAAAAGTGAAAGCGACAGGACAAATAAATCCAAACTGTAAGTTTACATTGATGTATGCCATTTTTATGGAACAAAAAACAATAGGAAAATAACGAAACATAAAAGAATCGAACTCAAAATCATTCAATCTAGGACGAAATATAAACAAGGTAAATATGTACAAGTAAACCTTTAAAAAATTACAAAGAGAATACGACCAGGTATTTCGGAAAGGTAAGCGTCTTCTACATTAACGACGCCGCCCCATGTGATGTAAATTGATATCGAATACAATTACTGGCAGGTCCTCAAATTAGGGATTGGGTTAGTGTCAAGGAAACAGTAAAGAATACAAATTAACATAATAAAAAATCGGCTTTAATGTACAAGAAAATATTTCCCAACTATAACATGATGGTGACTTGCCCATATTTTTCATCGACATGTATTTCGAAACACTATGTGATTTATTTGTTCTGCCATCAATCGATATTTATATCAAAATATCTGGAGTAAGCCATTGAACTTCGTACTAATATAATATATTATTAATCATTTACACACGGTAACTTGTGAGCTCGTAATCAACAAATATGGAACAAAATGAAGAATATTGGTGCCTTTAGAAGTCCGTTTTAATATGGGCACGACACTCAAAATGGACATGATATAAACCAAGGCAAATTTCTCCCAGTGAGACTGAAGAAAGGCAGGAGATACGTCTTTTTCTACAAAGACAGATATATAATTGAACTTGCTAATGGAGTGCTGCTCTTTGAGGACGGTTAGGAGGAGCGCTATAAGCTTTATGTTTTAGTGAGGCTGCCATGGTAGATAAGATATACAACTTTGGGTCCGTGTATAGTTATTGTGTTATGAGTAGTCGGTTCAATTGATAAAGGTAGATCGGTCACCGCCTAAATTTGAAACCGAGAATTTGTAGGAAATTCTGACACTCTACACAAACTGCTTGGAGTTCGTTTTAGAAATTAAAATGGGGATCTTCAACAGGTTCGCTGACAACTTTACATTGAATCCTAACTTAATATTCAAAACAAACCCAAAATTGACTACCTTTATTTTATTCGTTTGGATGGTATTTATACTATTCTATAGATTAAAATGATTTTGAATGATCTCTAAATCTACACCTTAACTTACCTTAAATATATGTTCACAACTCCGACTCTCATCCCCTATCCGTTCTACAGTCTGCGTGGATTAACCACTAACATCGAAAAAGTATAAACAGTTGTCGTTGTGGTTTTATAAGGTTTTTTATATCTCATTTGTTATTATATATTATCAAAAAAATACTTGTATCGACTTTCGTACAGCTGTATAAGGCTTCTGTGCCTTTGTACCTTTGTCCACTGACTTAATTTTTGTTAACTCTAATAATTCGAACAAATAAGATTATTTGAAATGAGTATATATAGATATTATATTTCCTTGTTGACTGCTGATTTTACTTTCTTTAATTGTGAATTTAGCCTTTGTACATGTCTCTAGAATAGGAAACTAGAATTATATAATGAATTTTGGCTGTCTGAACAAATATAGCATTTAACAAAATGGGATCAATCAACGTGTGATATCTTCGGGTGAAGCGAAGGCCTCTGTATTAAAACGTCATCGAGCTTGTCACTGTACTGTGAGCTGAATACACACTCCAAGTCCAATACGCTCTATAGCCTCGCTATGATACTATATAAAGCATGCAACGGAAGTTATCAGCCGCATAAACTAACACTTTTCCCAGTGTTGTGATAGTCATATGTTGAGAGTTGCGTTGGATACAGATCACAATGTCAATATATACGATGAACATAACGCTAAATAATAGAATCAAAATGCCGATGCTCGGGTTGGGGACATGGTAGGTAAGTTTTTCATAGAAGCATTATAAAAACTGTAGTTTCTTAGTTGTTTCCGAGCTCACAATTTCGCTTGTTGATCTTTCTATATTTGTTCGCTCGGACATAGAGCCGTGTTTCGTGACTAACAATAACAACCAACGTATTTTATTATTTACTCTATGGTTTACTTTATTCTTTCCTAATTGACTTTGAAAATAACATCACAAAGTACTTATATACAGGTCATCAATTGTGTAAAATACATATTGAAGTAAGTTAGTATTTAAAAGCCATTTGAAACTATAACTGGTGGATTTAGATGGTTTAAGGGTCCGTAATTTGTTTTCCTGATTCTAAACCGTATCTTAAAAAAATCCACCGATTATTACCTACCAATTATTCTAATCATATTGGATATGTGTATCTACTATACAGTTTGGCACGAATTGCATAAATTGATTGATAACTATTGCATTTTATACAAAAAGAAAATACTTTATAGTTCTTCTCAACTGCGAGATTTTGTCTGATATAAATATCTAGCTTTAACATTCAAAATGACTGGGATTATCATAACAGCTAACTGCATGCATTCTGAGGTCAACACAAATTGCATTTAAAATTCAATCAATATCATATTTCGCCCATGTACTTATCAATAGACAACTATCGTATTAAACAAATACACTTAGATTGTCAACAGTATTCAGAGGTTGGTATCCCCATATGACCTTACATTGTATCACTAATACCTGTGGTAGTATAGACGGGTTCTCAGGTCAAACCAGTTAAATAAATCTGTATATCTTATCTTTGACCTCCAATATAAATCAAAATTCTGTAAATAAATCGTACTAATGAAAATCGAATAACAACAATGTATGTCAATGTTAAAATCATAATTGACTTCACAATTATTAAAGGTTAAACATATACACGTATTATAAATTTTTGAAATGCATTAAAGCTTTCATCAGCCTACGTCGACACACTTGAGATTATACACAAATCCGCAAAGCATGTTTCAACCGTTAAGTTACTGATATAATATATCAGACAAAAAAACAAAATTGGGAAAACAATCTGCGATTTTATTAGAATGCATACATTTCCTCAATTCTGATTGGTTCATGTTCTGGTCATATGCAAATCTTACTACATCGTATAGATAGAGGGCATGAGCTAATCGAATATGCATATTTGATTTTACGTAACATTTGCTATGTTAAAACCGATAATAAATTCAGGTTGGACTGACTACCTGATCCCGGTATCATTATCTGTAGAAATATATTATTGGGATTATCACAAAATTTAACCTTTAACAGAGGCTTAAAAAAGTTAAAAGTTTATATGTATTTTATGGATTTTTTCTGATTTTATGTTGGAGTGTCCATTAGGCAAATGCAAATCATTCTTTAACATCAACATCAGATTAAATGAGAATTTTATCGTTCACCATTTGAAAATATCACCACAAAAATTACATTCTTCAATGTCTTTTCTTTTCTTTTGAACTAAGAGAGAGGCATATCATGTGACAATATTACAACCATGTAATTATCGGTATCAATAGTTTGTGCATAATCTAGTCTACGAAAGCTGCCAATCAAATACAAGGATACCTATACTACAAGGATCGTACCACATGATTGTGGTTGACCTTTTATCTCACCTTTATCTGACCGATTTGTATTATGAGGATTTAAATCGGGTTCATCTAAGTTCAATATCCATCAAGTGGTTGCATTTTGTAACAACTAGATGTACCTACATGTTGTTTTTGAGAACAGTTGGATTTAACGAAGTAAACTACCATCAATAATAATACGAATTGTTTTTATTATTCGAGACTCTTATATACCGCTTTATCACAATCTAGTTCGTTGGTCGTCTCAAAGCGGTTCACAAATTATTATCCGTGGTGATAGGTCCTTTGCAACCAGCCCTTTCACAACTCCCTGGAGAGCATACAGCCTGAGTTGCCTTTTCGGCGCTACCAGCTAACATTCAACAATTCTAGCACTGCCCAACCACGTACTCATTTACAGCACAGTGTCATGCCGTGACTCGAACCTGCAACCCTACGGTCACGAGCCCGGCGTCCTACCACTAGACTACCGTGCCTCCTGTAACACAACCTAAAACATAGTGAACCTACACCCCAAACATAAGCTGTGACGATTTCTGTTCGTTCTTATCACTTGCATGCTTTCAATAACTACTACTTTTTGATCCAATGACAACTCAAATAAGTAAGTTTGGGATAAATAAGTAATTAAATATTTCACAAAATGATCTAGGAAACGTTGATAATCGATCAATTGGTGCCATTAGTATTCGAGATATTCTTCACTCAGAAATTAGTAAAGCAATTATTAATTGAACAATGAGTAATTGTAATAGTTCTTTTCCACATCACTAATTTTTTAATATTTTTGAATTTACTCAATTGTAATAATAACATACACCATCTCACAAAAACAAATCATTAGCATTGAGCAATGCTTCAAGCTATATTGACACTACAGCGATGGTTTAACTCAAATCAGAGTTGAGCCCTTACTAAAGAAGAGCTATAGGGATATTGATTAAAGAATGTGTCTCCAAAGATAACCAGATTTGATTTAACACGGGACATTTGAAGGCTTAACATTTTGAATTACACAGATTTTAATCCATCAGTATTGCACATGTGTATTATCTTATTGCGGGCATGCACATTTCACGAACATATAGAAGACGCTAATTAAGAGTAAACAATTATGCAATGAAGATGAAAGATACCGTGCTCGACAAACTTTATACATATACTATTTGTCGCAGAGTAATGCAGACGATGTAAAAACGGCTGTCAGAACTGCCCTGGACGCCGGGTACCGGCTTATTGACACAGCGTACAACTACCTAAATGAGGACGCCATAGGGGAAGTCCTTGAAGAGTATATTAAAGCAAGCAAGGTGACGAGGGAGGAATTGTTTATAACGACCAAGGTGAGGGGTCACTTTCTATTAACTACATGTACTAAAGGTAATGAAGGTGTTGGTGCTGCTAAGAAGACACCAATATAAGAATAGAGACAGTAAACTTCTTCAGTACCGATTATTGCTTACATTGATAAATGCCGCAGTGAATAAGCACTGCAAATCAGTAAAATATATAATATTGAAAAATTAAAATACAAACTTCATGTACATTGACTATCTGCTCTGTCTCTGACATCCCCTCATATTTAGACGACGTCGTCATTTTGTAAACCAACCACTTGAAAACATATTGCTTATATGGATTTTATTACCTTTTTATCAGCAACAACTATTGACCATTTCTTTTCTATATAGACGTTTTAATTCGTTATTTTGCAACAAGTTTGACGTATGTGTATATTCAAACCCTTAAACATGTATCATGTTATATGCTTAGGTGACACAAAAAAATAATGTTACACGAACATTTTTAGATTTGATTGTAATTTCCGTTTGGGCACCTCTCAATACACTACTTTACATAAAATGTGCCTTCAATTAAAATTACGGCAAAAATAACTATCGCCTTTTTCTTTAAATTACGCTTGTTTCAGTTGGTACAATGTCTGAAAAAATGAAGCACATTTCTTTGCTATATTAGTATGTTCAAAGATTGAAATACCACATATAATACATCTATCTATAACGTGATAAATGTCTCGTAAGCGTTCAAACTAATACATTTGTGTTGACTTAAAAAAATGTAACCGATAAGATTAATAACAGAGTTTACGACAGTGTAAAATATACTATGTTATGTTTATGGAAACGCAAACATGCTTCATAAGCGGACACTGTAGGATCACAGTACAAAACTGTAGGATCACAGTACAAAACTGCAAGATGATATAAGATATAAATGTTATTACATCATTGTTTGATGTTCTTAGCAGTGAAACATAACACATGCGTAGAGGGCTGTTTTCTTAAGAGTTTACAAAAAGTACATCGAAAGCGACAGAAACAGGAAAAAAAACTGTTTCAAATGGAATTAGGAAATTATCAATTTCGTCAAAATATCAATGACTATCCAATCTGACATATCAGATGCATGCATGTTATCAGTTCTATATACAGAAACTTGCATAACGAAGGTAAACGTCATGCTGTATCACGTATCTCGAACTCCATATCCTGCAATTAAACTTATCGGTAGTTTTCCATTAATAACATCAAATAATTTCAACAAATTTCAACACTTTATATTAGTTATATCACTCAATCGATTTAATTCAGTAAGAGTTCTTTATACAGTAATTTGAACCTGCATATAGGGACCAGTCGTCGATATGTAAATAAATATACCACACATATGTTTAATCTATTTAAGTCAATGAAATAGTAAGATATTCAGCCGACAAATACATTACACAGTTGATCCGTTTACAGCTAGGCAGTGTCCTTACCCGACCTGCTGACGTTCAATATTCCATGTCAGAAAGCCTCAGAAAATTACGGCTCTCCTGCGTTGACCTGTTCCTTATACACCAACCGATGGTATTAAAGGTAAGTTTCCTGATAAGACATCATGACGGGTATCACGTATTGTGTAGGGACCGTTTACCTGTCAATAGTTCTTGGTTCGTTTCTTTTGTTTTACTGTTGCTTTCATCTTGCTTTTCTCCATGTTGTGTTTGGTGTTCGTTCTGAAAGTTCAACTTTTGTAACTGTCCGTTAAACTATTGGGTTCAATGTGAAAAAAGACGAAATGACGTTCAACACCTTACTCAATTCATAATCTTGCTATTCACGTGCGCTTATGTCGTGAAAACAAATAGCATACTCAAATAAATACGCAATCAGACTTTATATAATTACTATACTCCTTGTAAATCTATTCATATTGTTTTTAGAAACAAAATGATCCAAACGATGTTTTCCCAGTAAGAAATGGCCGACTTGATCATGATGGTAGAGTTGACCTTGAAGGCGTCTGGAAGGTATGTCTACACTCTAACATAGGAGGGTATGGCTATCAACCTTTACTTGTATTTGTTTGTACTTAGCATTTGTTTGCACATAGCAAACTAGAGTAATCTCCAGATGTTTCTAAATCTAAATTTGAATTATTTACGTTTTACAATGTAATTAACGATCGTCTTAATAATAGCATAATAATCATTTCAAAGTGAATAAATAAAATATCTGGGACGATGACTTTTTAAATGGTGTGAAAGTAGCAATGATGGAAGTGTATGATGGCATGATTCTGCTATTGCCTTACATATGTCATCATAATACTGAATTCATATCATACCGTATTTGCCGATATTCTTTTTATGACGTTGCTATTTTTATTCGATTTGTTTTTGGAATACGTGCAGAAACATTTATATTTTTGTGTGTATATTATCTGAAATTTTTCGTTTCGCCAATTTTGATAGGAAATGGAAAAACTTGTTGACGAAGGGAAGGCAAAGAGCATCGGAATATCAAACTTCAATGCTGCGCAAGTGGAACGTATCATGAAATGTGCACGTATTAAACCAGTGGTGAATCAGGTATGATAATACTCTCACCTGTTAAACAAGTGGTAAATCGAGTATGATGCCGCTAAAATGTGTTAAACCAGTGGTGAAACAGGTATGGTAATGCTATCATGTACTAAACCAGTTGTGAATCAGGTATGATAATACTCTCACCTGTTAAACAAGTGGTAAATCGGGTATGATGCCGCTCTCATGCGTTAAACCAGTGGTGAATCAGGTATGATAATACTCTCACCTGTTAAACAAGTGGTAAATCAGGTATGATGCCGCTCTCGTGTGAGAGAGAAAGGATAGCATTCACATTAAAAGGGGTGATATGGCTTTGTTTTGTTTTGTGTTGATTTTTGCGTATTGGCTTTTTTGCTCCTTATTTATAACACCGTCAATGTGGTCAACTCATTTTTGTAAATCAAATAAATGTTTCTTTGTGCTTCTGAAATTGAACTTTTGAAGGGTGGATATCTACTCTAAATATTACTGCATGTTTGGAGTAGATGGCGACGTATGTGGACTAAATCGCACAATATGTAGTTTTCCTCTTTGACCTTACTGAAACACAAAAGCAACCAAAAATATATATACTGTGGGAGTTCTATTTATATTTATTCCTAACAGGTCGAGTGTCACGCCTATTTTCCCCAAACAAAGTTGGAGGCTGTCTTAAAGAAAGATAACATATTGATTATGGCGTTCGCCCCATTTGGATCCCCCGGCAATGCAGCATTACTTACGTAAGTTTAGAAATAAATTTGAAGGATTTATTTCAATGTTTATTACGTGAATCGGGCATTTACTCATAGGCATGACTCAACGGAGATTTATAAACATGGTGACAATTACGATCACGTTAATACGAGTTTTGTTTCATGATCGTCAATTGTGTTTTTTATAATTGACTTCCCTGCCTATAAAATTTACTTCAAATTCTTACGCGCTACATGTGAGCCTTCTCAAATACTATAAAACAAAATGCGCTTAAGTGTCAACATCCAACTATAATACCTAATTCCAAATCGGAACCAAATACAGTATCAAAAATTCACAGAATTTCAAAACAAGGTGGCAAATCATGTTCTTTGGGAATGTTTCCGACACTACACCGTTAACCATTTATCCTGTCTTACATCAAATAGACAGAATCATACATGCATTATTTTTTTAGGAAAAATACACATATTTATCACATTAGTGACCCATCTTACCATGGCATACGGACATGTTATAAATATGGTTATACACACAGGAATCCGGGAGAGTCGCCACCACCTGCTTTGTTAGAGGATCCCGTAATAGCCAAGCTAGCAACAAAACACAAGAAGACTCCGGCCCAGGTATGTATCTATAAGCTATTATAATTGATCTCGAAACTGTATAAAAAGAAATTTCACTCTACTTTGAGATATACGGAATACATATGCATTACGTTAAAGCACTAAAAAAAATTGTAAACAAGAATTTGCTTTACTTATATAACGCTTGCATGCTTCAGATAATGGAAGTCAAAAGGTACACTAGGAACAACTGTCTAGCATTATACCTGCTGTCGTTCCTATACATTGTAAAGTTCCACGATTTCAATAAACAATAATAAGCAGTAATACCGATAAACACACAAAAGCATAAATACCATTCTTCTATCATCAAAAACAAAACAAGAATCTTTTTCACTTTTTGTTTGACGATCATATTTTTTATTTTGGTTTGGAGATTATATGGCCACAGCATCGGACATATATGGTTACCAAATGTAACTTAGTCATAGGGCAAACCTTTAAATAGTTGCAATACGAAATGATATAAATGCAGATTAGTTTAATTGTGTAAACAAACGAGGGTACTTGAAATAAAAAAAAAAATGTGCACAACGGGAACAATTGCAAACCTACTTTTCCCATTTTCTTGCAACCCGATTTTGTCCAAAAATTCTTTCAAATTCTGCTTTGGCGCACACATTCGTCAATTTTATAGATTTATGTTTTTTTAACAGATTCTGATTAGGAACTTGCTTCAAAGGAATTTGATCGTTATCCCAAAGAGTATAACACCAAGCAGGATACAAGACAATGGAAACGTAAGTACACAAATAGGAAATTTTCTTAGTTCATCATATTGATATGAATAAAAACAAACTTCAGGATAAGAGGCTAATACATATATATATATAACTAGCATTGAGCGAGAAAAAGTAAACGTAACAAATAAAATATCATATAGTACACTCCTTACATACAGTTGAGAACAAATTTAACTTGGTAGCCTAGTGCACTGGAGTTGACAAGAAAAGTGAACTCAGGTTAACTAGCTTGTGCACTGGAGTTCACATACTTGTGACTGGAGTTAACACTGAAGTGAACTGGAGTTCACATCAGTTTGCACTGGAGTTCACATTGATACGCACTGGAGTTAACACTGAAGTGAACTGGAGTTCACATCGATGTGCACTGGAGTTAACACTGGCGTGAACTGGAATTTACAGCGATGTGCACTGGAGTTCACATCGATATGCACAGGAGTTCACATCAATGTGCAATGAAGTTAACTAGAGTTCACAAAAGTAATTTCTTTATCATATGATGTCTGTCATTTTCATCAGTGTATACATACTATTATTTTCTCCCCTTCCGTCTGCTTAATAACTCAATATTCTATAAAATATTAGATGATACCTATTCATATATATTTAGAAGAGATGAAAGTGCTAAAGACTCGTTGTTGAGAATTTTTCTATTTATATTTATATATATACATAAAATGATTTAAGCAGTATCCTTTTAAGAAAATAGCATAATAACTATAGAGCGTGATGACCTATTAAATTATTACAGTAGCATATAGTACATAGGTGGTTTAAAGTTTATAATACTTTGTCTTATAGACATAATCACCTTTATAGTTATAACAGTATTACGTCTACATAAAATATAAAAATATATCTTTATATTAATTAGTGCATGATAGTGAATTATAAGTCTTTTTCTGTATATTCAATTTGAAAAAAAATGGAATGCTCATGTAGGTAAATACACGTACTGTGAATAAGAAAATATCCTATGTATTAAATACATATATTGTCTCATTCATGATGGGTAACAATGTACTGTAGTTACACGAAAGTATATATGAATTAAAACAAAACATTTATTTATAGAAACAATTAAATATGAAGGTATCAAAATTGTACCTGTCTGAAACCTGTAGCTAGCACAGGAAAAACTGCAGGGGTTGATATGCCTTGAAGTGTTGTGTAATACACAATGTATAGGGTCTGAAGTCAAATTACATTTACCTCCTATTAATTTGAAATATTCAGTTGAATGATTCTTTCCTTTCTCTTTCAATTTTCTTATCACAAAGGAACCCATTTAATCATAAGTTATTATTGAAATATGTACTTCAGTCTTTTAAACGTTGGTAAACACTGTAGTAAACTGGAGTTCACATAGTTGTGTACTGGAGTTAACACTGAAGTGAACTGGAGTTAACACTGTAGTGAACTGGAGTTAACACTGAAGTGAACTGGAGTTAACACTGAAGTGAACTGAAGTTTACACTGAAGTGAACTGGAGTTAACACTGAAGTGAACTGGAGTTAACACTGGAGTAAACTGGAGTTAACACTGAAGTGAACTGGAGTTAACACTGAAGTGAACTGGAGTTAACACTGAAGTGAACTGGAGTTAACACTGAAGTGAACTGGAGTTAACACTGAAGTGAACTGGAGTTAACACTGAAGTGAACTGGAGTTAACACTGAAGTGAACTGGAGTTAACACTGAAGTGAACTGGAGTTAACACTGAAGTGAACTGGAGTTAACACTGAAGTGAACTGGAGTTAACACTGAAGTGAACTGGAGTTAACACTGAAGTGAACTGGAGTTAACACTGAAGTGAACTGGAGTTAACACTGAAGTGAACTGGAGTTAACACTGAAGTGAACTGGAGTTAACACTGAAGTGAACTGGAGTTAACACTGAAGTGAACTGGAGTTAACACTGAAGTGAACTGGAGTTAACACTGAAGTGAACTGGAGTTAACACTGAAGTGAACTGGAGTTCACTTCAATGTTTTGTCAAGTGCACTTCCTTGTTCACTACGAATTGCACTAGATACAAAGTGAAGTTTGCTCCCAACTGTAGTTGAATCATGAAGTGTTTACGCTCATTGTGAATGATGTACACAGTGCATGGAATACGAAATATACATATTTAACACAGGCATGAAAAATGGCATATTTATATAAGACATGGTATGAAATATGGAATATATACGTAGGTTGGGACATGATATATGTAATATGTAAGACAGGGCATGAAACTCGAATATGAATCTAAGACAAGACATGATATGTGAAATATGTAAGACAGGCCATGAAACTAGACTATGAATCTAAGACAAGACATGATATATGTTATATGTAAGACAGGGCATGAAACTAGAATATGAATCTAAACAAGACATGATATATGAAATATGTAAGACAGGGCATGAAACTAGAATACGAATCTAAGACAAGACATGATATATGTTATATGTAAGACAGGGCATGAAACTAGAGTACGAATCTAAACAAGACATGATATATGAAATATGTAAGACAGGGCATGAAACTAGAATATGAATCTAAGACAAGACATGATATATGGAATTGAAGACAGGGCATGAAACTAGAGTACGAATCTAAACAAGACATGATATATTGAATTGAAGACAGGGCATGTTATATGTAAGACGGAGAATAAAATATGGAAAGGTATTTAGGACAGGGCTTAAAACATGTAAGATAGGGTATGAAATATCGATATTTATGTAAGGCATTGCATGAAATATCGAATATGTATATAATAATGGGATGGGCTTTGGGATATGTAGTGTTAGACTTATCATGTAATACAACTGTATGTAAGACACTGAGAGAAATATTGTTTATGTAAGACAGAGAATTGAATATGGAAATTATCTAGGACAGGGCATAAACTATGTAAGACAGGGCATGAATTATAGAATATGTTTGTATGACTTGGCATGAAATATCGAATATGCATGGATTGTGTGAAATATGGAACATGTATATAAGAAGGATATAGGATATGCAAGACAGGGCATTTGATATGCAATATGTATGTTACACATAGCATTGAATATATAAGACAGGAAAGAAATATTGATTATGTAGACAGGCCCATGAAATACAGAATATTTATGTAAGCCATGGCTTGTAAAATATGAATATGGAATGCGTGCCCGAAACAGGACATGAATAAGGGAATATATATGTAAGATATTGCATAACATTTATATATGTCTATTTATCGGGGGGGGGGAATTGACCAGAGTGTCTATGTACACGCACCTCCCTAGTACTTCCATCTCTTAAGAGGCTCATCATTTAAAAATAAATATATATATATATATATATTTATTTCAGGTGTTTGATTTCGAGCTTCCCTCAGAAGACATGGACACGATCAGAGGGATTGATAAAGGCATCAGGATATTCCGCCCGAGCATGTAAGTATATTTCATAATGAGAAACACAACAATTGGTATATATTATATTCTGGTCACATACATGTATCGATTAACCGTAGCTATAAAAAAAAGTCGAGGATAAACTAAATAAGAAAACACGGCAAAAATCATTATTTGTTATACCTTAAACATATGTTCAACATTAAACAAAAATGTGTTTTGTCTTTCAGAATGGCCGACACACCTGACTACCCATTCAAAAGTCCTGTATAGATCGAAGGGGATCTTTGACTTTTTACGTCAGCCTTTTTCGTGGTTTGCCATTTTCATACTGCTTATGGTAGTATAAATGGTTTATAGTTCGATCTTTAATTCTAAGTTTCCTATACATGCCTCAAGTCAGTATTTTGTTTAGGTGGTAAGAACGTCATGTTAGTATTATCTTAGGTCCGTTGTGATACATTTCCCCTTATTAACATGATAGTCCCAATATCTGTACCACACAAGAGTTCCGAACGACTGAAGTGGACGATAGCAATATCATTTCCACTGTGTATAGCATTGACTTAACTAGATGTTGTAATATTTTATTCCAGTATGTCCCAATGTATTATTCTATTTATTTTCTAGCAATAAAATGTCTATTTCCCGTGTCATAGGGAAACATGATCCTTTGTTCACTGGTAATAATCATGTTTCACCAGGGCGGCGCACGATGAATCTTTTAAAATCGTTTAAGAAAAACGACAAGTTCCATACGGTCGATTTTGATCTAGATGAACTTTTTTTGTCACCGTCATTACTGTTAACTGAAATAAGATATATGTGTGAGACCTTTTAGTGGCTATCTCAAGTTATAACCTCACCTCCATGTATTCATTGGCGTAATTATTTACGTACTGTTCACCATATATTAATAAAAACCTCTCCGTCATCTATTCATACTGTTGTTTGCCTTGATTAGCTTCATTTTTCTGTGAATATTTTCTTTTCCTATTCGTATTTCCTGTTTCAAAAACTATGGGGAAACTAAAGTCTATCTTTCCTTTAGAAGAACTACGATAATGTGTTACAGCGGCCCATTTATGATATGTTGTTGATTTTTCATGAGTATTTTTAAAGTTTCAATCTAAGAAATAGATAATTATTATTAATGAGGACAGAATATCGCTGAAATTAATACATACACGCTTAAACTTCAACAGAAAAACGTTGTAAAATAAGTCCCAATGGGGAACAATTAAACAGGATGGTCCTTCTTGATTTGTTGCGTAAAACTGTTCGCCCAGTCGGTTGGTCTGTTTGGATGCCCGGTGAGCCAAAATCGAGCAAGCCTTTACCAGTGTTTCGTCATTTTATTGTCAGGGACGTAACCAGGCGTACGCACGGACGCACGGGCTTCCACGTAATTTGTTCAAGTATACTTTTAACAAGGATCGCATTGTAGAACTTTATGTGATAAACTCTAAAAACTCATATAATCCTGGGCCCTCAGTGAATTCATTATCTCATTGATATTGGTTTTTTTATTGACTATTTAACGAAAATGTTCCTTGTTCATATGGAGCTAATTATTACGCATTTGATAAAAAAAAAAACAACAAGCGAAATATGAAAATGATAGCTATTTTATGTCTCAAACTGCTCCAGAATGGGTTCCAGATTCAAAAAAATATCGGGGGGGTAAACCCCTGCGGAACCCCCCAAACTCAGGAGGGGGTAATCCCCCTCCCGAACCCACCCCCTACTCCGCGCTTCGTATGCTTCCACATACTCATAGTCCTGGTTACGTCCCTGATTGTGTAGCGAGGAACGTTCGCCCAGTCAGATTTTCACCCTTCACACTGAAATCCATATTCGCCCGACGTTAATTTCGACTTTGACGTAGTATCAATATTTGCTCTAAGTGTCAGTTCGCCTTCATACGAGAGGGCTACTATAAGGTCAAAGTTAAACTGCTTCAGCAATTATATCCCAATCTACAATGGACATGTTCTCTCTATTATCTAATTAAAACGATTAATGCTGAGATTTCCATACATTATACCCAGCACAGGGATTATTTGCATTTTCTACAAGCTTTACTTGTTAGGAACGGAAAACTTGTCGATGCATTTATTTCAATGATATTTGAAATACGTTACGTAGAATCGTCATTTTAACCGACATACCATCATCAGGGATAACAGGCATGACCTACAGTGACGCTCTGGTATGTAACACAGACCACCTTATGTCACGTGACAGACATAAGTAAAGGCCTAAGACACTTTAGAAGGCTCCAAAATTATGCTGAAACCTCATGAAAAAGTTCTTTCTCCATCATGAAAAGATGTGGAAACTTTATTACAATGAAAAACATCAGGGCCCGTATTCATCAAACCATTCTCATGATCAAGCATGGATTTTGTGATCAAGCCTAATTTCTTGTTCTTAAACTTTTGAAGAAACTTGAAGACAAATACTGTTTTCAATGTTAACATTTGACTTTTTGAACGTATGACATGATTTAAGCGAGTTACAAGAATGTTGGTTTGAGCACAGAATCCATGCTTGAGCATGAGAACGGTATTCATACGGACCCAGGTAGCTTTATTTGCTATTCTGCTAAGATATATATTCTTTTCAGAGTTAGCGATAGTAATACTGAAATTTGTCAATACCTAAAAAATATTTTTCCATTTTTGAATGCTTTAGCTTTTTTTGCCAACTTCCTTTTAAAAACAGAAGAAGATGAATGCTAACCAGATGGGTCCTGATTTTTAGTGTCTTTCGCCCTAACACAGAAACACAAGTGACGAAGGAAAACAATTGACTCGTACCCTGGCTTGGCCCCGAAGCAGGGTGAGGTGGTATAGTTGGTAATTTGGTATTTAAGGTCTGAAGTTCGAGGCCCGGACAGGGTACGAGTCATAAAATTGTCTTCCTTCGTTACATGTACTTGTATTTCTAGGTTATTTACTCAATTATTAGACACAAAGTAGGACGTACATTAGCGTATGGTAATCCGAACTACATATGTACCTGCCGTAATGGTACTCTGTCTAATAAATAATAATGTTTGTACAATTCCTATCCGTGTGTATATATATATTGCGATACAGGTACTCATATCATCAATAGACTATTTGTCACTATGACTTTGTACAGAATATCGGGTTGTTGACAACTGCAACTTCTTTTTAAAGAAGCTGAAGTGGTGTATTGGTCGGATCTGGGGATATTTCCGGGCTAGGCGATGAGGTGCCGGAGGTTGTAGGTTCGAGGCCTGGACAGGGTACGAGTCATAAAATTGGCTTTCGACACTTGTGTTTCCATTTCAAAACGACGACCACATCTACCCTTGTTTATATTGTATACCGAAACCACGAAGACATACAACTTTTTCAAATGTCAGAAATTTGAGATAATTTATTGCATTCTTAGTTAGGGGTTTGTAGTAACTGGCTGGACCTTTGGACCGACGAGTTTGCAAACTTGATGGGAACCGCTGCCTCATAGCGTTCTCTGCTATGGGTTTGTAGTAGACGGTGGGGCCATGGGACCAACGAGTTTACAAACTGCCTGGGGCCCAAAACTTCCAAAATGTAGGTTCGGGTTCGGCTCAGGGCATCGGCAGATCTGACTACCATCGTTATAGTCCTGGCCTGCAGGAATTTTCTTGTTCCCCGCAAAACAATTCGGCCCTGCTCATAGAAGAAATTGTCTCATTCAGATATATTGAAAAATAATGATAAGGTGCTAACATAATATTCAATATTTATATAGTGCCCTTTATAATTTCTAAAACTACCCTAAGGCGCTTTACAGCGTATAATAATAGAGGTACAACTACATGTACAGTTATGAATAAAGAAGATAAATTTAGTTTTTAATCTTATAATGAAGAATATTTTAGACTTTTATTTTTTAAATCGACATAATTTAAAGATTAAGTCGACAGGATTTGAGAATATATCGACGTCTTCATTGATGATGTGGAGATCTTTTAGAAATTATGCCAACATACTTTGATAATTTGATGTCAAAGATACATTAACTTCTTCTAAAGTATGAATGTAGAACTGGAGAACTGCGACGAATCACAGGAGAGAGTAGCCGATATATGGCTGGGGAAACATATTTATTCATGGCTAATATTAAAATGACGCAATTAGAAATCAGTTCATGATGACGACAATGATTTTTGTTAATGTAAACTTTTAATTCCGTTTAAAGTCCCGAATAAGAAGTTTATAGATAAACAGTACTCTATATCTACTTAGAAAACACTGCTTCTTAGGAAAAAAACATGGATGGTGCAAATGATTTTGCAAATGTAACAATCTCCCTTTACAGGACAGACTACAAAACTTGTTAATGCTTATGGATGTAGAATAGAGAAAGGTGTGCATGATAAGGAAATTATAATCAAGGGGCTTTCAAATTGGGTAAAACCCAAGGCTTCCCGAAGGTTTCGCACCAATTTGAAAATTCTGACAGTGGATATTTCTGTCATATACAGACAGGAATGAAAGTAGTATTCATAACTACCAAATTATGTAGTGGAAATCGAAATCACAAGGACTTACCGTTCGGACACACATGACAACAGTTGCCAGGTTCTACTATGGCATCTACACACAGGAGTGGTTCGGTAGTACATTTGTTGAGAGAGCAGTGCACCATATTGGAATATGAGTCACATTGGCACCTCTCACATGGGGATGGGTAGAAAATCCCCTCCGAATAAAACTTCTTCTGATAAATACAGCCAGAAAACCTGCATGTTGGTTCTCCTCCCCCCGAGCATCTGCATATTTTCCATTCATCAACTCTTACGTCCAGACCATACGGAATGGTCAAGTTACCATATCGGCAGTTTGGTCCTGTTAGGGTAAATATTGAATATGCCATTAGGAACAGCGGCACGTCCGATCAAATATCGGAAAAGACACTAAAAAATGGTAAAATAAACATATAAACAAAAAAGAATATTGTTAATGTGCACTCATAGATATAGGCATTCAAGAATAGTAACTGTTTTAACACAGGCAAAACAACCTTACCATTGGGACAACGTCGACAGCCACTAGCGAAAGAGACAGGGTCAACACACTGATTTCCTACATCTGGATAAGGACAATCTTGATAAATACACGAAATCCGTCCAGATTGGCAGCTGCACGTTGAGCACGGATCGGACGGGATTCCATCTCCCTGGTTGTAGATTGTTCCATTCTTCGAACATGTGGGAGGGGTTATATGGGGTGTAGGGTAGACAGGACGGTTTTCCAGAACAAATGCTGAGGTTGCGCTTAAACATGTCACCACGAAAACCATTGTGTTGACATCCATGATTGGAACTATCCCGAACAAGAGAACAAGAGTTCTTATCTGTCTTGCACATATCTCCTATCACACGTGTTTCTTCTCACAGCCCATTTCCAAATATATTTTTTTCCTTTTTTAAAATGTAATCGACCAAACATATCAATCACATACTGCAAAACACTCTAATTTCTTGCGATCGATATTTTTGCGTTCTTTTATGTGTTGTTCAATCACGGATTCAAACATCTCACCTGCAGTTGTTGTTTCATGACCTGGAACAAAAACATCCGATAAAACATTTGAGAAAGGATTGTCAAATAAGGCTCCCAATAAAAATCATTCTATACACGATTATTATTGGAATTTCACGAGTCATATTACATGCAGTACAAAGTGTTTGATGATTATGTCTATATAGTAACGCACTTTAATACTATGAAGATTTACATGGAGGTCTTATAAATGTCTCTTAGTATAAACCGTATTTTATTTCGTAAACTTGCAGTTACAATATACAGACAATTATTTATTACATACATGTAATAGGATCCAGAAACAAGTTATTAAACTTATATCAATCTGTTTCCTTAGCAGATATAATAATGTATAACAGAGACTTGAAGTGGAAGAAAGAGGAGAAGAAATAGGAAGAGAAGAAAGAATAGCATTTGCCAATGTACAAAACGTTAACCTATGTAAATGTCACTGATGTCATAACGGATGTATAACGTTGAAAGGTTTATGCCGTGTACTACTACAAAGATTCCTCTTAAAGAGTCCCGTACCACTGCCAAAAACTGTAATGAAGTATTGAAAACTTCTGCATTACTGTGCTTTAAATAAATCCTTTTTGAAAAGAAAACCAAACCTTGCGTTACTTTTATAAGAAATAATAAAGGTGACCTAAACAACATATAATCAACAACGTTGATCTGGGTGTACAATTTGAGCGGGCTCACACCGACGAGATTCAATCCTTGTTTGTTTGAGAGGTTTTACCGCGTCACCACCGAGTAATCGGATTATCCAGCTGATGACGGATTCGAACCCTGGACACCATATTGTTATACTTTCGCTCTAACCGATTGATCTACCTGTTCAACGGAAATGCCCTGGGGAACCTGCTATAGTTATATCCAAGCTGAGATTAGGGGGAGGCTACTATATATAGGACAAGCCACAGAACAGTGGGACAGTGATCCTTAAGGAAGTTAAGGGGAGGCTACTGTATATAGGACAAGCCACAGAACAGTGGTACAGGGATCCTTAACGAAGTTAAGGGGGTGTTACTGTATATAGGACAAGCCACAGAACAGTGGTACAGGGATCCTTAACGAAGTTAAGGGGGTGTTACTGTATATAGGACAAGCCACAGAACAGTGGGGCAGTGATCCTTATGGAAGTTAAGGGGAAGTGACCGTATAAAGGACAAGCCACAGAACAGTTGGACAGGGATCTTTATGGAAGTTAAGGGGAAGTTACTGTGTATAGGACAAGCCACAGAACAGTGGGACAGGGATCCTTAAGGAAGTTAAGGGGAGGTTACTGTATATAGGACAATCCACAGAACAGTGGGACAGGGATCCTTAAGGAAGTTAAGGGGAGATTACTGTATATAGGACAAGCCACAGAACAGTGGGGCAGTGATCCTTATGGAAGTTAAGGGGAAGTGACCGTATAAAGGACAAGCCACAGAACAGTTGGACAGGGATCTTTATGGAAGTTAAGGGGAAGTTACTGTGTATAGGAAAAGCCACAGAACAGTGGGACAGGGATTTTTATGGAAGTTAGGGGGAAGTTACTGTGTATAGGACAAGCCACAGAACAGTGGGACAGGGATCCTTAGCAATATCTTCGTCGGTTACCTTTTAGATAGGATAAGATATCCGGCTCTGTTTATGAAAAAAACCTCTGGATGATTTATATATTCATAATTCTACACTATCTAATCGACCTCTCAAAGGTTATATTTTTCGAATATTTTTGCGAAGGCAAATGTCATATCAGATGACTTAAAACTATATCTTTAAGTCAAAATCATGTTACACTGTTGCTAACTACATGGTTTAATAATACGTTAAAATAGAAATACACATAGCAATACTTTCGTCCTTTACAATTCATACACATTTAAGTAAACAAATAAAAAATGGTAAACAATAAGTAAGTTTTCTTTAAGTATTTAATTCAAATATAAATTTCGAGGACTTCCTTATATGTATCTACAAGGTTATATATTTTATATATTCTTCAATTGAATATTTGTTCACAACTTTTGAGGCTGGACCTGGTTGGCTGTCAATTCTTCCAGAGGAAATATAACAAAGGTGATGGTGCCTTTAAACACTTGGATCCGTAGAAATCAGATAAGACATCTCGATCTTAAAATCTTACGTGATGAAATTTTAAGATTAATCAAACAAATATCTTTTAAATTGTAAATTTTGGAAAGAAGAAAGTTTCTTTTTCAAATTCAAGTTGAGGTTAACAATTTCGCAATTATCAATTCGATATATATGTTAAAACATTTGCACAGCTCAGTAACATAGACTTGAAAGTCATGTTTCGTTTTTGTTTCACAACAATAACCGATATATTTTGAAAGTATAGGTAACAGACTTTAAAAACAATCCAGGGATTACCATACACAGAGGATGTGACCATTACAATAGATATGCCTACTGCACAGGACGGAACCATCACAATGACGGGCCCATTTTTATTTTCACAATTTCAAAATTGTAGTGTAGAAAAGTGTATATTAGTTACATAAAATATATTAGACAAGTGGTTTTTATATAAGAACGACATTAAGTTTGCATAATGATATTCTGAATTATTGTTATGATCAAGAAAACAAGCGAAATAAATATCTTTTATAACAAAATGAATAAAGCATGAAATTGCATGTGTTTGATCCCATATACTATTAGTAGTATCGCGACATAAGTTTTCTTCTAATTTAACGATTGCACTGATTTTCGCATTCAAATAATTATACAGATACCCTATTTTGTGTGCATATACTTATGTATTATATATTCTCTATTTACTGGTTACTTTAGTATATATTATCCCACATACCACATTATATAGGCAATGTTACATTACATATCTTAAAATGAAAAAAAAGGGAATGAACTCGTACACTACAGGTGAATATATTCACCCTTCCACTATAGGGGATTGCGTAGATATGTACAGTCCATACATGAATATGGTTATAAAATGTCTCAAAATATAACATAGATCTTATAAAAGTCTTGATTTCTGGGGCATAAAAAATGGAAGGAAGATAAGAATGGTAATAAGGTTACATATATAAAAGACACAAGGTCAAGAAGCTTTACACATAAACTCTCGGGAGCTTGTATTTCGACAATCATTGTAAATATAATTAAGTACTAATTGTAATGGGGACCATAACAGAAGTCCCTCAAACCCCCGCAGTTATGTTCGCAGTGCCAAAATACACCGTCATATGAAATATGAGCAAAATGGACCAATATTTGATTTCGACCAATCAGACCACCGTGGCGGCCATCTTGGTTGACCGATCGGAAAATGAGAGGTTATTTGCACATCCAATTACCTTGATGAACACGTGTGTAAAGTTCATTTATTTCCATCAGATAGTTTTCGAGAAATGCGTCGGAAACTTTTACGGCGGGAGAAATAGAAGAAGAAGAAGAAGAAGAAGAAGAAGAAGAAGAAGAAGAAGAAGAAGAAGAAGAAGAAGAAGAAGAGGAAGAAGAAGAAGAAGAAGAAGAAGATAAGAAGAAGAGGATAATATGGTAAGATAGAAAACTCAGATTTCGAAAATGTTTGAAAAAACAACAAACTCAGGATAAAGCAGCCTTTGTTAATGTTATATTTATCTTATTAGCACTTTCGCACCTTTCTGGTACATTCAACCATCCACTTACGTATGCTATTTCTTTAAATTGGCAAATTGAAAGTTGATATCACTTTCAAAATTAATCGAATACTAAATAGTATTGACATCCAAAAGCAAACTCCATATAAAACGGTATAACACATCATTTCAATATATATGACGTGTAAAGCGATCGGAAAATACCATATGAGGACATATGTATTGCAACAATCAGTCGATACTCCAGTGGTTACGTTCACCTTCGCACTTTGCACCCCAGGAATATGTCTTAGCAGAATTTTAGGCACGCGGGTAGTTCTTTGTTTGCTCTCAAGTAAACAATATACTTGACCAATAGCTAGGCTGATACATGTCCTTTCAAGGTTACAGAGCAGCGACACCCGACTTCAGAGCCAGTCAATTTTACCGTTACGCGACCGAGAGATAATTTGATATACATCAAGTCCAAATGGTGGCGCACAGCGAACAATCGAATTTGCGTTTGACATATTTCAGGCATGCAGAGGGGAAAGTGAACATAACCCCTGGAGTACCGAGAATGACCCACCTCAAATCAAGATGATAACATATATGATGACACATGTAACTATACAATTGTCAAGTAAACAGAGACATTCTACATGAACTTCAATAAAATCTAGTTATTGATGAAACAAAGCGAATATTTGTAAAACCATGTGAATTATATTTCACAAAGTGTGAGATATTTTCAGCACTTTTGGACTTCATTGGAAGTTTTACAATTTTGAACGATGTGCACGCGTATATGAAGGCTTTCGACCATTGTTTTGACATAAAGTACCGTTTAATTTTCGTAAGTAGCGCCTTGTCTCCATGACAATTCAAGCGTCAACTTTAAAACAAAGATTTGAACAATATTAGGTCTAGGTTGCTATAAAACTTATTCCAGTTTTGTTTTTCGACACTTTGCCTACTCACATACATTTATATGTACAGTGTAAGTACGTGCTGGCTCGTTTGTCTCTTCGAATTTTTCGCTTCACCTCAGATACAAGCTGTGAAAAAAAATTCTTACACGTTCATCCAATTAATTCTTCCCATTGATAGCTGCAGGAATGGTGCAATATTATCCGGGATATTGCCTATGCATATATAGCTAACTACACCCATAATATAAACTATGGGTGAATTGACAGACGAGGCTAGTAT